TTAAGGAGCAGTGGAATGCCACATGAGGGCTATGCCGATCCCGTCATGAGCGATGGACCCAGATTCCACTTTCGGACGTGCCTGTTAGCGAGCTCGCCCGAGCGTGACACTCGAGCCATCAGGCAAGTGTCATTAGCTCAACCCCTCCGGTTGTGGAAACCGCAGAACAAGGTGACACATAAACTCGCCCGGCCCCTATCGAGCCCAACAGGGGCTCGAGGGCTTGAGCCGCCCGACCCCGACTCGGGAATCCGACCGATCGAGGTTCAAAGGCTGACCCGTGAAGGGCTCGAGGCCGCCTCGCGTCGAACAAAGCCAGGGAAGAAAACACAGATGAGCCCCAGCGGCCTTTGCTCGACCCACTCAGAAGCGGATAGGGTGATCTTGACCTTTTCCATCGATCCTAACCTCGAGCCAAGCCCATAGAATCTCCATCAAGGAGAGGCCAGCGGGCCACCTGAGTCAGTTTTCGGAACAACTCAGGCATCTGCCGGGAAACAAGTTAAGGAGCAGTGGAATGCCATATGAGGGCTATGCCAACCCTGTTACAAATAACGGACCTTGATTCCACTCGGACATGCCCATTAGCAAGCTCACCGAGTGTGTCACTCGAGCCATCGAGGCAAGTGATGTTAGTTCAACCCCTCCGATTGCGGAAACCACGGATGGGGTGATGATCACAAAGACAAGCCGACCCTTGACCGGTCTCCCACTACGCATGGGGGCTCGAGGAAGTTGGACTCGTAAGGAGACCGAATGCACGGTCAGCAGAATGATGGCTCAGATCCTAGGGAGGGGGTACGTACGAAAACTAAGAATAACATTTCTAAAACAAGAGACACTTTCTCCTACTAGTTTTGCTATCCTCTCCTCGATCTTTAGTGAAACCCGACCCCAGCAACGACAAGGGGTCAGGTCTCACTCGGGGGCTGATAAGGGTATATATACCCTTTTTGAAATAGTTGTCGTGCCCAACCCCTTCCTCAGGTTAAAAACCTAAAGGCAAGGGTTGCAGAAACGAACGACTGAGTAAGGCTGGTCGAACTGCAAGAAACCCATGCCCCAGTGGCTATAGCACTCTTACTTACCAACATGACCAGAGTTTTTTGCCCACACCTCAAGCTCTATGGTCTTAACAACAGGAAGGGTTGGAATGCATTAACCCCTTTTTACACATAAAAGGGAGAAAGAACAAATTTGTTCATACGAAATAACAAGCTTGTTTAAACAAAACACAAGGGTTGGAACTTGTCTGCTTATTACAAAAATGATCGCCCAACCTATTTAACTAACTAGCCCCTCTAGGGGAGAACTATGCCTTCTATCATGTCCGCCAGGTCCTACGAAAGGGGAGCCACCGCCGTTTCCATCTCCTCTAGCTCGTGGACTTCATAACCGGGCGTGTAGCCGTGGCTCATCGCCTACAAATCGATGATGTCCCCATAATGAGAACGAGCAATCATGAAGGACTGATTGACCCTGGCGCGAAGGGCATTCCTCTTGAGCTGGCGCACCCGAGCTGTGATCTCGATGCACGAGCCATGAGCGAGCTGGTCCCTTCCGACCGCACCACCTCAAGGTCGTCGTAGACCACTCTGATTGAGGCGCTCAGGATACCAAGCTCATCACTCTCCGCCTGAAGATTTCTCTTCACCTCGGTGAGGTCCACAGCCAGCCCGACAGAAATGCTCTCGGCCTCTAGCTTCCGGGTCATCTCCCTTTTGAGCTTGGCCTGGAGGGAGCCGACCTTCTATTGCGCGTCATCGCGCTCTTGGCAGGCCTGGTCATGCTCTCGGAAAGCCTAGTCGCGCTCCTCACGAGCCGCGCCACATTCCGAATAGAGCCTCTCTGCGGTTTGAATCAGCTCATCCTGCTCCTTGCGCTGCTGAGTGACCACCGCGGTGTCTAGGCTTGCCCTTTTCTCTAGGGCTGTGAGCTTCTGCTTGGCCCCCAGCTTTAGATCCCTTTCTTTGTCAACCTTGCCCAGAAGGTCAAGGATCCGCTGGCGGGTTTCTGTGTCCTTCTGGTGCAACTCATCCCGCTCCTTCCTCACCCTGGTGGCTTCTTGGTCATCCTTTCGCGACCTCACCGACAGGGCCTCGAACGCCTTCTCAGCCTCATCAGCATCTCGACGGGCCTTAGCCACCCACAACCAAAGATTGGCCGCCTCCTTGGTGAGGGAGTCAGCTCGACCACCCTCTACTGGGCGGCAATGAGCTAAGCTGATCACCTCCCGTGTAGCCGCGCCTCCTCGATGATGAGGCGATCCTAGGCTTCCTTCTGTGACGAAGGATCTGAGATTTCCCAGTACTTTTTGTCATTTCTGATTCACATATGACATAAAATAAGTACATTGAATTACAAGACATCTTTCAGGGCACAAACACGTTTCGTTAGGGCAAAAGTGGCTTCCCTATGATTCAGGTCATCATGTAAATAAGGAATCATACCTCATCATTGGCTTTGATCACCAACAATGATGAGGTAATTGAACAAGAAAATCACTTTAATTCACATCCTTCAATCAATTCAGTTAGGAGGATCTAATTATGTGGACTCTTCACAATGACCCACATAGGGAATCATACCTAGCTAGTCCTTGGTCTGTGACCAACATTCCCAAGGTAATTGAACAAAAGAAAATCACTTTTATTCACATGCTTCAATTTAGTTTGGAATTAATTATATTCACTCAGTGTTGCGGCTAGTAGAGGCACATACCAGAGAGATATCTGATTAAGCACAACTAATTTGTTTCATTATTTAAATCAGTGTAGAGAGAGCACTGCATGATTATGTAATAAAGTGGCAGCTTGGGTAGTGTACTTCTGCTCATAGCGTTCATGTCTTTCTTCACATTCTTTGTTAGCGTGGATTGCTATTGTAAAACTTAAGCTTGTTCCCCGACAGGATCTGTGGATTTGATGATTATATCTATATGGTTTCTTTAATATGCTATTTAAGCTTCATTTAAAAACATTATGAAAATGCAATAATATCCTAGGATGCAAGAACATTCTAACGGTGAATAAATGGTCATTAATGCTGGACCAAACTACTTATCAGTGGTGAACTAATAGTCATTAGCACCGAGTTAATGCTTGAGACGGTATTTATGAATTCCTCATCACCGTCGGATTACACCACTGACCGGTGGTGATCAATGCTCATCACCACTGAAGTGTAATTCGACCGACGGTGACCAAACGCTCATCATCGCGGATCATCTTTGTAAACCGAAAGCGATTATAGGATTATCAACGCCGGATAAAACTTTGAACCGGGAGTGGTTGTGGCATTATCATAGCGGATCAAACACCAAACTAGCGGCGATAGTGTATTATCACCACTTGTTACGAACCAGCCGTGATGACCATGGCCATCACCATTGATATTTCACCGTCGAGGCCCAAAACCGATGGTGATGGGGGGTTTTATTTAACGGTGATGACCTTTCTATAGTATTGCTCTATTTATAGAGTGGAGGGGAGTGGGAGTGTGGGCCCATAAATCCTTGTGAAGGCTTTCACCTCCCACCATTAGATCAAACCGCCATTCCACAGGACATGTAGGATTAAAGGAAATTGTGTTAGTTTGCATGGGGTCAAAAGACCTTGTGAAGACCACCTCCCCACCATCAGGCGACCCCATGGCTTCGGCCAACCTCCATTGAGGGGTGGGCCTAACCCCTTCGGTGTGGTACTGTTCCTCGTGGTACACGTCCACGGGTATGAAGTTTCATCAAAGTTGGAGCACCGATGTTCTAGATGTGGGTCCAAGGATCCTTGTATGCATCCATTTGGACCATAGATTGTGAGCCGACCTTCAATCAATGATGGATAGCATCAAGGGTTCTTCTTCTTTGGAGTGGACCAGGTAGGAGGCCTAGGTGCCCATGGCCTAGGTTGGATGACCCTAGGGAGACCAGAACGACCCCCTTGTGTGCCCACTTTGGCCCATATTTTGCTCATTGCCTCTTGCAAAGGTTAGTTCTCTGAATATTGAAATTTGAACTTTATTTGAATATGAAATGTCATGAGCTTGTTATATCATTCACATATTTCTAACATAGTGACGGTTGGAATTAGGGTTTAGTGACTATCAACACCAAGTCATATGGGTACCAATCGTTGTATTCTTGGATGCCTTCCCAAGTCATGCTTCATTTGATACCAGTTAGTGAATTCATGGATGACTTGCCAACTGGAGTTCTAATGGAAAATAGTTGGTGAACTCTTACATGTCTCACCAACTCATTTTTAAACAAACATCGGTAGGTGAATTCCTACATGCCTCACAAACTCATGTTTTCATTGGTTGGTGAACTTTTGCATGCATTTCCAACTCATGCTCTAATGGACATCAGCTAGAATCATGTTTTAGTGGATACCGGTCAAAGGATTCATGTAGGCCTTCCAACTCATGCTCAAGTGTATCTTAGTTGGTGAATTCATTTATGCCTTGCCAACTCATCCTTTATGGACAATGGTTAATAAATTCTTTAATCCCTTGCCAACTCACGTTTTAGTGGATACCGGTCAAAGGATTCATGTACGCCTTCCAACTCATGCTCTAGTGGATCTTAGTTGGTGAATTCATCTATGCCTTGCCAACTCATCCTTTATAGACAATGGTTAATAAATTCTTTAATCCCCTGCCAACTCATGTTGCAATGGGCATAGTTAGTCTCACAAACCCATGCTAATGGACACTAGCTGTGAAATAATTATTCCATATCCTCACCAACTCTCCTCCAACTACTACAATTGTTATGCATTAAGGCACAACTTGGCATTAGGTCATTGCATGCATGAGCCTGATAGGTGACAAGTGGCACACGGTGTGTTGCATGAGCATGGCCCCTTTACCCTATGGAACGAATACACCATGGTATGAGGGTATGCGAAGCTCCAAGCCTATAAATGAGACCCTTGACCACAACTTCAATTCACAAGAAAGAATCCATATACTAGGTAAGAGGGACAAAGAAATTTGTGCTCATGGAGGCCTCCTCAAGATTGGAGCTTGAACAAGCGCATGCTGAGCTTTGGAACCTCACCTTTAGCTACCTTAAGTCCATGGCGCTTGAGTGTGCGGTACAACTCAACATCCCCAATGTTATTCACAACTTTGGTGGCAGTGCCTCTCTACCCAATATTCTCTCTGCCATCCCAGTTCCTGAACATAGGAGGCCCTATCTTCCACGCCTCATGAGGTTTCTTGTTGTATCAGGCATTCTTTCCTTTGATTCTCCCACCTTAGGGGAGGGTATGTACCAACTCACCCCATTGTCACGCCTTCTCGTGGATGACACCCACATCAATGGGTGTGGGAGCCTTGGGCCATTTGTGCTCTCCCAAACCACAAAGTACCATGTCTCATCAGCCACATACTTATCTGAGTGGTTCAAGGGTGAGGACGGGATGGGGCCTATGGCTGCGGAGATGCCATTCAAGATGGCTCATGGCACAGGCCCATGGGGTGCCCTAGGGCGTGATCCACAATTCAACAAAGTCTTTAATGCTGGGTTGGGATCTAATAGTCGGCTTGTGCTAGACTTTGTTGTGGCCCAATATGGTGATGTGTTTGATGGCATAAGCTCACTGCTCGATGTTGGAGGGGGGGATGGTAGCACAGCGAGGACCATTGCAAAGGCTTTCTCACATGTCAAGTGCTCAGTGTTGGACCTCCCAATTGTTATTGCTGACATACAGCCGGGTGATGGCTTGGTTGACTATATTGCAGGTGATATGTTTAGCTCAATCCCACCGACTGATGCTATTGTGCTTAAGGTATGTATTTATAACGATTCATCACAATTGGAATCTGGTGTGGATCTATTTTCTTAATGTTAACCTGAGTACCTAATTGGTTGATTCTTCCTCTTACCACAGTATGTGCTGCATGACTGGAATGATGATGACTGTGTCAAGATCCTAGATCAATGCAAAAAGGCTATACGTTCTTGCAAACCAGCTGGAGGAAAAGTGATAATCATAGATACAGTGGTTGGATCTCCTTTGAAAGAGATGTTCGAAGCGCAAGTCACATCCGATTTGTTGATGATGGTGATAGCCGGGGGTAAGGAGCGTGATAAGCAAGAGTGGCACAAGATATTCATGGAGTCAGGATTCAAGGACTACAAGATAAGGCCAGTTCTGGGATATCTGTCAATCATCGAGCTGTACCTGTAGAAAAAGAATAAGCGTTATTAGCTAGCTAGGGACAAACATGTCCGAACAAGGGCCCTGCGATCCATTTGCTTGCAAATGCCCACCTATTCAGTCTGTTTCACAAAATAAGTTATATGTATGCCTCAATGGTTTATTGCCAAATAATAAGGGCCTAGTTGCATGGCCACAGATTTGAGAAACTAAATATGGTGTTGAAATTACTCCACTTTCTTAAGTTTTTTTTTTCTTTGAGCTAGTTGTAATTGCTTTTACAGTTTATTATTACCCACATATTGATCAATCACGCATAACCATATCTCGAGGTCATCGACGTTGGGCCCGCCGGCCTGGCACTGCCCAAGCCCATATTGAGCCTGACCCATTGCCGATCCATCTATGCAGGCTTTGTTCGGTTAGTGAGGATTCCAGCTAGGAATATTCCGGCTCATCTATGGTTATACAAATTAGACATGCAAATCCATCTAGGAATAGTTCTAGGCCACCAATCCCTAGAACCGAACAAACCCTTTATTCATTTTGGAGCACCTCATTTCGTGGCTATGCCTAACCGAGCAGAGGAATGATGCCGGCTCCACGTGCGTGCCTCACCAAGCAGGGTGGAGCCATCGATGAACTAGGTCACATAGTGCAGCAGCATGCCATGATCCCTCCCGCACCTATCTCACTTCTTTAGTCCATTCTTCAAACCCGTGTCAGATTTGCTGTGTTGTGGGCCGAACACGGCATTGTTGTAGTCATACACCAGCAGCGTGGAGAGTTGGAGACTGGGAACTCGTGGCTGGTGCTGCCACCTGGCGTCATCCATGTTCCGAGGAGGTGCAATTTCTAGGAGAGGATTATTTGTGCAGTCAGATTAAAGGACAATAGGATGCTGTTTCATCATTCATTAGTTTTGGTCATACTATTATAGCACTCACCATGCCCAAGACTCTAAAGTAAAACAACAAATTGGTAACGTGGTGTGTTTTATTGTCAATTTGAAATTGCCCACTGAGCAAGGACATATGATTGCATTTTTCCCATAAGAAGACATGTTCAGTTTTCAAGTGTGAGTGAGAAAAATAGCATTTTGCCAGAGTTTTAAGAGTCTGCGCAATTCTTGTGTAAAGAAACTGAATTATATAGTTTTTGTATCATTGTACAAGATGACTTTATGCTTGTGTGATTGTGGCATTATGTAATTTCCTATGAACTTGTTGATCAAGGATAGGAGGCTGCAATTTCATCCACTCATTTGTTTTGACCATACTAGTATAGCACCGAATTTTGGTGCCTTTTCTTTACTCGATTACTTAGCAGTGCTTTCCTTTTTTTTCTTTGTTATAAGGATTATTTGGGGAAGTCAAATCAAATAAGCATAGATCTAACTACGGTGGGTCTAACTGCCAGACCTCAGATAATCAAACAAACCATTCTTACTATGGTTCGTGATACAATTATTGTACCAGAAAAGGTGCACCAACGGAAAATGGCAAAGGTCCAACTATTGAGAACACAGATGCCTACAGGATTATGACAAAGTAAGTGTAGTATATGCCAGGTGGCGGGGGGGGGGGGGGGAGGGTAATAGTAGAAGGCTAAGTCGATGGGGACTGTGCAATGATGTTCATCAGCGAGAATGTAGAAGACCGAAGGATGCTGGAGGATTTTTTTTTTGTTTGTTTGCGAGGGAATCTGCATGATATTTTGGTCATTTTCTGTTTGCTATGTAAATATTTCTGGTTGGTAAATTAGATGATCCATTGTGTTTTATTTTCAGTACAGTACGACAGACCCATGATTGTCCCAAGTGTTGAATTATGTCTTTATTTCTTAGTGAAATAGATATAGTGTCTTTCCCTGGCAATATTCTGATAGTATATTCTCTTTACAGTTAATACTTAATCACTCAGCTTGTCACATCAACCTGCTTCAATTTTTCTCTGGATACATGAGACATTACATTACATTCTAACAACTCAGAGTAAATAAAAGCTTTCACTAATATTGGTGCGCTGCATGTGTCTTTATAGTTAAAAAGTGTTGCTCATCATGTTTCTAAAACTTTGTTGACCATGAGTGCTAGGCTGACTCTGATGACTCTGGTCGGTGTTAACTTTCTGTTTATCATCTATCATATTGAATGGGTAGATGTTTATGATGTGCACCAGAACTTGTGTTTTGTTTGGTAGCCTGAAGGACCTTGAGCACACTGGACTTACGGATAAAGAACATTGGAACGTGGCAAAACATAGTTTCAAACGTTAAGCAATCAAAATTATAATGACTATACAATAGTTCCTACTAGAAATGCCATGCTCTGGCCAGTTTGTCATTCTGCGAGTGAAGTGAGAACAGTTTGCGATGCTTTGACTGAACAGAGCTAGATTTCAGATATTCAAGGCACACTCAATGTTACAGTCATTGTTGAATTCCTTGATTTATGGAACCTTCTCCAGGGCCGTCCCGGGGAGATACGAGGCCCTGTACAAAGTAAAAAATGAGGCCTACTAGTCTAGAAAAAAAATATCTATTCTTTGTTTTTTCTTATGCTTTTGCCAACTCGATTCAAAAATTTTAGACCGATTTGCAGAAGATATGGCTTCAATCTTCAAACACTAGTCCACTAGGCGAGTATAGATGAAAAGAACAAAAATTAGAGATTGATCCGCTACTCGCTATAGTTCAATGTGAATGAATTAAAAAAAAAAAGAAATATGAATGATTAGTATTACCTTCAGCCTTCAGGGCCTTGCCTCTGTGCCTCGCCGTTGCTGTCACTCGCGATACATGGCCGATAGGAGACGGACAGGTTTGGGATCGCAGGAGACAAGAGACAAAACGACGCCGTGCGGCCTCCGGAAAACCATTTGTTTATTAAGCTTGCTAGTGGGTGATCCTGTTTTGGGCCAACGAAACAAAATCTGCTTTTAGCTATATGGGTTATGGTACTAGAAAATTGGAGGCCTATCAGAACTGGAGGCCCTGCGCCGTCGCCCTGGCTGCACGCCCGCAGGGACGGCCCTGCCTTCTCTCGGAGGTGGAACTCCAGCCCGAGGTTGAAGATTCTCACACATGGCGTTTCTCTACCAATGGAAAATACTCAGCAAAATCAGCATATGAGAGTTTGTTTGTTGGAGAGAATTTGGAAAAGCTGGGCGCCTAGAAAGTGCAAGTTCTTCATGTGGTTGATGTGCTTGTATTTCATGAATCATGTACATACGAGGCACCAACACCTAGCTAGTCTTTACCATCTTGCAAGTTTAAATACATCAATTTTGAAATTTCTTTCTTTTCCAATAGCTTGCTGTGTAGCTTAGTGTTCTAGCTAGATTGTTGGGTATGATCACTTGACTAGCATGATGGAGTAATCTTGCTTTTAAAAGCTATACTCCTAGGGTACGGCTCCAATTTGTTTTTGTTTCAATTTTAATTAGTTAGTCCCAATTAAACCCCATGGCTTATTTGATCCTTTGTGTTTGCCCTTTTTGATTCGTCCCGATAACAAGCATGTATTCATGATGATCATTACACATTTAGCACATTTAAATTATTGTCATTAGATACATAAGTGCAGAATATACATAGAAGATAAATTTGAAACCCATATGAACCAACTATACATATAACAAGGCGTAAAAGCATCAATTTATTTCATCCAAGTGATTATGTACGAACTTGTGAGGCATCTGAAGGTCTGCCTACTCAGTGGGGTAGGAAGGCTCCATGGCCAGGCCATACATGCCTCTCTTGTCTGAAATATCTTTCTCCATCCTCATATAACCATTCTCTCCCCATGTGGTGCCCCATGAGTTCTTCATCAGCCAATACTTGGTGCCATCACTGATCTGTCCATAACCAATGGCGGCAATCCCATGGTCCAAGTCGGTACCGCAGGAGCCAGTCATCACACCGCCAGAGTAGAACTGAAATGCCATGTCTCCACCGTCGACGGCCACCGACACGGGCTGGTTCGCCACTGCCTTCATCAGGGCTGCCTCATCATTTGCTGGTACATCCTCATAGCCATTGATGGTTGTAGCACTATTTGATCCGCTCTTGCACTTGCCATCGGCAGCTGTGTAAGGATAGCTGGACTCCGTGGTTAGTCCGCCATTCTTGATGATGAACTTGAAGGCGTCGTCCATCAAACCACCCTCACAACCCGGGTCCTCACCATGGACATCACAATCTACCAACTCTTGTTCCGAGAGTGAGGTGAGCTTGCCGGTGCTGATTTTCAATATGCCTTCGGTGGCAGCCACAGCTGAGAACGCCCAGCAGCAGCCTACAATTGATTAGGTTTGAACATATTGTTAATTAGAACTTAGACTAACAGGATCTTATCTTAGTCTAAACATGATCACTAACTAAATTTTATGCGGAAATTAATCTGATACTAACCAGAGTTTGTAGATGCCATCTGAGTGCCTATGTAGACGTAGAAGAGTTGATGTAGATGAAGTAGATCTTAGTCTTCACCAGATTGAGGCTTGATGCTCCTAGTCGGTGAAGAACGCGATATAGATCCGCAATAGTAACTGGATGTGGGTGGACGGCTTTTCTAAACCCTACAACGCTTAATCGATTGGTTATGTGAATAGTCACGTGGATTAGAGAGCTTGTAACATCAGGGGCACCTCTCTTATTTATAATCGCGCTGTGGGTCAGGGGGGCGAACCCTTAGAATTTTAAGGGTTGCCGCCGATCACGGCAGTTCTTATTTAGTTGGAAATAAATGACGAGTGGGTGAACCAAAAGCTTAATGCTTAATTAATCTCGCAATTAAGTTCAGGATTAGCCGAACCGATCACATTCCAACATTCTCCCACTTGATCGAACGACTAATGCAATTATGCAACTAATGTTTGCTTTACACTTATGTTCACACTCAGTACTACAGCAAGACCAGAGCAATGCGTCGTCAGCAGCATCAATCACAACTGGGACCCCATTACGGATAGTTCACTGTAATACCTTGTTAGAACCCTTATTACTTATTGGGAGTACATGGCCCTATTACCAGGAATCAAGTCAGAGACTACGCTAAAACCGAAATTGATTTGCGTGCTCATAAATGGGTAAGTGTTAAGACTCGAATAATCAAATATCCTAGCATCAGCTTAGTTCTTATTTTTCTCAAACTTAATAATCTGATCCTGGGTTCTTTCTTTCACAACATTTAATCGATGTGTTTGGCATCAGCATTTGATGCGTTGTTACTCAAAATAATACTGCAACTCAACTATAGGCTCATAACAGTATGTCAATACTCAATATTGGGATAATATCTCTTAAGTCACATAGCCTGTCGTATTCATGCCACTAATTGAGCTCATCTTAATATTAATTATATTTGAAGCTTTCAATAAAGTTGTCCTTTTCTCCGAGAGTAGGTATAATCTAATTATGTACTTTCTTATACATACTCAAGAGAATTGACAAATAATTCTTAATTCTTATAAGTGACATGATGACTCTTTTGGTGCCTTATCAATATCTTAAAATTCTTAAGCACCTTCTAGTACACCTATTCTGGATTAATAAACTAATATTTTACCAAGTATCCCAATAGCAAGTCTAGACTAGTATTGACTTTGAGCATTCTTAAAGTTAATGACAGCCGAAGCATATGGAACGTCTTCCTCTTCAACTGTTACTATCTTATTCTTAGAATTATTTGGGATAATTAAGCTTATTGCGTTGTGCAATTGCACTGTGCAAATAGACAGACGTGACATTACTTATTCAAACTCTATCACTTAAGCATTCATTTGATATGCCTTTTATGATAGTCCTAGTACTCAATTGGTCCTGTATTGGTATATTTCAATAGCCAAAAACTCAGAGGCTTCACCAAAATATATCATATTAAAAATTTTGGCGAGTAGAAAACTCTTATGTTGACATTCCTATTGCCATGTAACTCAACTTCACCCATGTAGAGTATTAGGACAATAAACTTTTCCACCCTTTTTTTATAAACATAATTGTCCACTTAATGAAATTCTAAACTATAGTGGGCTATGTTCTTAGCTTAAATCTTTTAAAACTCCTTTTGAAGTCACGCTAAGAATTGTAGACCCTTTTTATAGCATACTAGTTTGACTTCATCAGGAAACTTATTAACACCCACACTTTATATTTACTTATGGACCTAAGCTCATAAATTTGCTTTGTTTAGAATAACAAAATTCCTCTTCTGATGTAATCATCTTATAGATTTATCATGGATCACAAGCAGATTAATAATAATAGAGGTTTACTTATGTGCCTACTTATCAACTAATGGTTGCTACATATATCTGTTGTGGCTTACTAATTTACTCTTAAAAATCTACAATTGAAACTGTAATAATTTAAATGGCGGTATACTAATGACTTATGGTACAAATTGAGATATTTATGTCTTCTTGAGTCATTGATATAAAAAATTGTATCTCGCCAATATTTAATCTTCCTCCTTTGTGAACTCCCACTAACTTCCACTGATTTTTGCATTCTCTAGGAACACATCATACCTTAACAACTTAGTGAAACAGTTATAACAGTAGAAACGCAATCCCTTGGACTTTGCTCCCACTGATTTCTGTGTTCTCTAGGAACATAATCAGGGTGCAATGTGGATAGCTTATTTACTTAGAATCTCATTTCTTATCCTTAGCTTGACAGTACTTATGTCTTGCTAAGGTTTTGCCCAGTAAAACTTTTATGGTCAAATATTCATCAATCAGCGTTGGCCAGAATGACAAACATAAGGCATATAAGTCTCTAAAAACAAGCTCTATGAACTAGTCTAATCAGTGTTGGCCAGAATCAACTAGAACAAGAAACTTGGTGGACATGCAAACACTAATCAGCTTTGGCTAGAAATAGAGAAAGCAAGCCATACTTCAATTAGAGACTAATGTTGGGCTGAGGGACAAAATTAGTATGATTTTCTTATTATTATTTCTCAAGTCCCATGCTTTCTTATTTGAATAGAGCATCTCTTTCCTGATGAAATAGTCCATTCTCCCCTTCGAAACATGGCTTAACTATAGTGACACAATTTCTACAAGGTATCATCACCTAACTAATGATTAACTTAAAGATAATAACATAAGAAAACTCACATCACCTAACTAAATAAATCTCTTCTAATTAATAAGATAAATCATAATGGAATAAATTTGATGTATTCATAAACTCCAAACTCAAGAACATTTGTTCAAAATATAAAGTATCTCATACTAAGATGACATAAGTGTGATAGAACCGCCCAATTTATACAAGATTAAGTACGGCTGTCCCCATTTAACACATTGACACGCGCATACTTTCACTTATATAAACCTGGTAGTCCGCCGAGTGTCATGAAGGACCTCGATAAATCAACATCACAACCAAGATCGCATGATTAAGCAAATATACATCATATACATGGAGTTGCAGCGAAAATAATGTTTACAATGAATTCACAAATAATAATATAAGTTTGGGTTTCAAAACCGATTAGTGAAAACAACATAGCTTTCAAATAATTACAATAATATAACTTTCAAATACATTGCTAGCATACGTGACATCCTCTGACAAAAGCATATAGATAAGAACACTATAAAGAGTCGTCGAGCCCACAGGCGGTTAGCCACCATCTTCAGTAGACCGAGAACTTCACCTGCAACATGGTGGGATAAACCCTGAGTACTCAAATATACTCAGCTAGACTTACCCGTCATAAACTAAAAATAAAGTGACACTAAGGATTATGCAAGACTTTATAAGTGGAGCTAGCTTGACAACATTTTGCATAAAAAGCCACTAATTCAACTATACATTTTATAATTCGGTCATCAAAATAATTATAGCTATTCATCTCTAGATTAGCACTAACATATATCAAACATGTGGTATATCATTTAGTAGCATAACAATAGTAACCATAGCCGGTGTAAGATTTTCATATTTATCAGAACCATCGTATTCCATAATCTAATTACTATGATGCTGGAGCTAGTTGAGTTTCTCACTATCTGAGAGAGACGGCGATTCGAATCGGTTGCTACCAGCTGGGCAGTTATTCCTAACACAAACCCATACATACCTATGCCAAGGTAGTCTTAGGTCATCTTTGGTATAACTCAGGTACACATTTCGCGGGTTCGATCAGCGCCGCACAACCAGGGACAGCCAGCTACCAAGATGATTAGGACTACCCTACCCTTGGGCTCACGTCTGGCTCCCCGCACATCCTTACTACCATTCAGAGTGTGCACTCTAACATAACAAGGCCCAACCAGAGTTGAGCTACTTGGCTTCGCGGCTAGAACGAGTTATCCGGCCAACTAAGTGAGAGGCATGCGTTCAATCTCGATAGAAGTGCCAGCAACGATACGGTCCTTAATCGACACAGACGAGATCAACATAGCCAACCCAACACCATTGCATATGAAATCCTGCCCGGTCTCCACTTAGATTATATCCCATGGTTATTTTTCCACGATAGCAAATATAGCCAGCCGTGCTCCGGTATCCACCTATATCTCGCGGTTGACAGGAAATCACTCGACTTCTACCGGTTTAAGCATGGCTAAGCATATATTCAATCCTAGACCTACACAGGGTTCAAGGTATATGTTTGGACAAGAAAATTATATGCATCAAGAGTTTCCAATCAACTCCTATAACCTAATGCATCAAACATAAAAGAACTCAAATTGATATTGGTAAAATATAGAAGGTTTAGAATGCTCCGAGGCTTGCTTGGGATCCAACAAAAAGTTAGTTCAGTTAGCTTACACCGTCTTGGGGAACATCTTCCACTCTAGGCATGCACTCCAGGGGTCCTTCCATCTTTAGGATAGGTCCACCAACACCGTCTTCTAGTTTGACTCCATTGTCACGTGCTTCATATCCACGCGTTGTGCATCTAGCATACCTAGATGAAATGCAACAATGCAAGTGCATGAATGAGATGCATCATATAAAAGCATTCAAGACAAGTATAAGGTTACACCTCAAGACATATGCACTTAGAGTTGTTTAACTAAACATCACACAATCTATTATAAAAAGATAGCAAGCGCATCAAGCATGGCACACAGTTAACTTAAGTTTAGCTATTCCAAGCATTCATCAATCAAGAATTAACTAAACATGTTTAAACAAACAAGAGTAAGCTAATGCAATCAACTTAGTACATGCACATAATCTGGACAGCAGTACAAAAGCTATTTGTTTTAACCATAACTAGAGTTATAGGTATCAAACAAAGGTGATCCTAGACTTTCTAGAAAGATTAGAAAA